TTTTCCTGTCCGGTGGGAGGAGCTCCAGGTGGGGGTCCTAATTTAGCTGGCCGGCGACTGCCAGAGGTGCCGCGCGTGTCGGGATCCTCTGGCATTCGCCGGCCAGCTAAATTAGGACCCCACCTGGAGCTCCTCCCACCGGACCAGCGCTGACTCGCCGCTGCTCTCATGCACCGAAGGTAAGTGAAAAAAGTTTTTTCCGCCCTCACCCTGCAGCGCCCTCAGGCGGCCGCCTGACTTGCCTTGCGGTAGCGCCGGGCCTGTGTACAGTCCTCAGACATGGTGTAGCAGGAGCTGCACACTTGACGATGTAACCAGTAGCCGCAAAGGCTGAGGCATCCATAGGTTTGGAAGGTGGAAGCACGCTGGTTTCTGGGAGTGAGCTCCTAATGGTTCCAGAACTTGGGATGGATGGGCTGATCATCTCAGTGGGAGTATTTCTGGCAGGATTTGGGGATCTCCCTCATGTCCTAATGGTAAGGCTTTTTCAACTAAGGGCAATACTGGATAGTGAGGGGGGTTCCGCACTGGGACCCCTAGGCTGCATAGTCTATTTTAACGCTCAAGTGAAACATGCAGATCAATAATCACAAGTGAAAGAGTTGTCCTCTCCAATCACATCAAATGCGGCCTTCTCATGACTGCCATAAAGTGTATATAAAGAAAATTGTATATCCGCAATCTGAAACAATGTGTCCAATTTACTACAATCAAGCAAAACAAAACATGGGGGGCGTCTCAGCTGCCGTTGTGATGTGCGGGGTCCCTTGTGCGTTCCTGTGCCTTTAAAGGAGAACTATGGGGTCAATGTTTTCCCCCATAGTTCTCCGTAGGGTAACGGGAGGACACAAACTAGCGTCCTCCCGTCACCCTAAGCTCAGTATATAGGGAGCTACAGCTCGCGGTATACTGAGACGCCGCAGCTGAAGCAGATCCCGACAATTGTGCCGGGATCCGCCCAGCTGCGTGACTGACAGCTGGCTCCGCCTATCTAGAGGCAGAGCCAGCTGTGCCCGCGCCCCTCCCCCGTCCGTTCTGCCAGTCAGCGCTGGCAGATCGGAACGGGGAGAGGGGAATCCAGCCCCTCCACTGTTACGGCAGAGAGCCGTGACAGGATCGAGAGGTGAGCGAGCGCCGGTATGTGTTCGCTCACCTCCCGATCTACTGAGCCGACCTGTGACAGTCTCATTGTCACAGGTCGGCTAGAACTATGAGGTGAGTGGAAATCAGTTTTTTTTTTGCATGCTGGCTGGTGAGTGTGCTGGGAAAACTTTTTGCTGTTGCAATTTACTACAATAGCGCGGGTCTCTTTGATTTTATGACACATGTATCATGCAGAAGAATATTGAAGTGATCAACGGCATGTGGTTGGAGCAGTCTGGGATCATACCAGGTCGATCGCTTCTGCATGCTTCTTGTGTAGCTTACGTCATAGCGGGCCGTGTGTTGAACGATCAGTTGCTGCTCCCAGCGATTACTCATTAGTGATCAGTAAAAAGACATCTCGCAGGCACAACAATGTGTTCCTTTCAAACTCGATAATTTATTGTACAAATACCTGCGCAGGAAAAGACAGCGGAACATCATTTACAAATACAATTTCATTGGCTCCAAAGATCTTAGAAGTCATAGTGGAAGATGATGAGTTTCCAAATGCTCCTGTCCATGTTTTCCCTAATAATCATGGCAGGGGAAGGCAAACTCTGGACATCCCAACCTGCAAAACCTTATTTCAGGGAGGTTCCCGTCTCATTTCAGGGAGGTGCCCTTTCTGTTTTTTGGTGGTTTTTTTTACAGCCGCCGTCGTCAGAATATAAAAGAAATAATAATGATAATATATATATATATACATATATATATAAACACACACACACACACACACACACACATACATACACACAGAGTAAAATAAAATCCATATACCAATAATACAATAACATTATATATTTATTTATATATACATCAGATTTGTGAATTGATGTTCAAGCATCTGTCAGTGTAAAGG